CTCTTGTAATATAATATTATTCCCATCTGAGACATTCTTATAGAAATAACAAAAAGTCTAATTTAATTCCAATCTGGTATCCCGGAGAGTCATCGCTAAAGTTTATGGACTTACAATGCTGAAATCGAGGGATTGATTCCACGCGGGGGACAAACCGCAGATAGCCTATTATACAGCTGTGCACTTCAACAAACCCAACCAAACACTCATATCTATTGTCGATTTCTTTAAGAAATAACACGGAATAGTATTTCCTTCCCATATAGTGTATTTCGCGTAGAAATAACATAAAACTCCATTCTTCTAAGATCAATATTAGACGTAAACTAATTTGAATCTCATGTACTCTGTTAATACGTCTGAGAAATTAAACCACGCAATAAATAACTTAATTGATAAGCCGTTAACTCCGTTTCTAAACCACTGCAGAATTAAATACAGTTTATAATTCATTGAAGCTTAGTTAATGTAGAAAAAAAAATATGTATAGATTTAAAGAAAGAAAATGGAACAGAACTTAATTGAAAGCTTAAAACTTGTTTGTAAAAGTAACGAAGAAAGTATCATTACTAATTGGAAAATCAAATTCTTTAACTTCTGCTCACGAAACGCTACTTAATAAGTGCTCGTCAAAAACTAAAGACTAAGTTTCATACAACGTAACAATGTAGTCTTTAAAATATATGGATTTCTTTTACGTTTTAACTTTATTTCAAGTTAGGTTCTAGTTCTCAATTTTATATGTCTAGTAATTATATTTTGTTTTTTATGTTCTTCCTAGATTTTTCAGGTGGTTTTAAGGAGAATTTCTGTCATTATCAATGACATAATTAAGTAAGCGTCCCTTTATATACATACAAATATGTATGTATATATATGAAATTTATATGGGAGTTCTGTATCAATATCTTCACGTGAATAATTAAATTTAATTAAATTGAATATTGATTAAAGACGGAACCAAATCACCTATGCTCTGATAAAAAAACTTTTAATTTTCTTGATTAATCACACTAGAGCTCGGGAAATTAGATATCATTTGATTAATGTTTGAATGTAATTTGTTTTTATATGTAAAAATATGTAAAAAATTGCATTTTTTCACGATATCCTTTCTGCACGACAGGAAACTGGAGGATACGAACATTAAGAGTTCAAGGATCAATTGAAAGTGCATATTGAACATTTTATCGTTTCATAATCTAATCAAGGCTCATAATCAAAATTCTTTTATCTTTTTGTTGCTTTTTTGCGTCACTTTTTATTGTTAATGTTTTTATTTCGTGTTCTGAAAAGAAACGTAAACGTAACCAATTGAATTTTTCTACACGATCCTCCCCCTGTGGGCTTAGTTGTTATGTGATGTAACTCTCGTGCATTAGTCAGTGTCTGTGCGTGGTTTTCTTGAACTTATTTTCAAATATCGATCATTTGATGCTTCACATGATTTATTGATGGAATATATATGTATAATTATTACTTTAAATAGTGCCAATGACGAAAGTAATGCTTCCAAGTTAGTGTCTCTGGTGAAACAGCATCTATTGCAAAAGATGCTATTCATTTAATTTTCAGTAGTTTGTCACACCGACAAATTTCTTTCTTTCTAATATGCTGCTCTACTTTAACAACTGCCTGAACCCCACACCTATAAAACTGGTCACAGCTGTTAGTAAAACAAATGTTCCTCTTATAGAATGTTATAATATCAGAAAGGATAGATGAACAGGAAAAATAATAATCATAGCTGCTTTATAAATTCTCAGTTGCTTTTGTTAAAAGCTTTTTACTTATTATTCAGTAAGTATAAGCTAATTGATTAAAAACTGATAAAACTTTTATCTTTGAGTAAATAAAACTAGAAAAATGTTCCCTGGTGAAGAGAACATATTGTTCTCAAGATGATCGTTTATCAGTAAACACCAAGATATTTGTTTAGAATTTTAAAGATTACTAATGAGTTTCAGTAACTGTTGATCTTTAACAAGTTAAAGTTCCCTGTATTTCAGCAATATTCAGCATCAGAAGCACGCAATTTCTAACATTTTAGAATACATTTTTCATAAAAATCTTGAATTTTGAAACCAAGTGTATATTCTTCCTTGAGGGATTGAATAATTCAAGAACGTCTTCATCACCCCTCGTTCTCTAGTACCAAATACCTATGTCAGTGATTCAAAAGAACAAATGAAATTGCAAAGGAGCGTCTCAAGTCATTTCCCAATCCCTCAAATGAGTGATATTTTCTTCAGCCTATTGCTTTTAATTCACTAATACTCCTTTTAAATTTGGCTTCAAAATGTACCTAGTAATAGTAAAAATAGTCACATTAACTGGTTTCTAATAAAAGACACCTGAATAAAAAGGTTCGGCCAAATTGGTGGCTACACATATAGCATTGATAAAAAGTTTACAGCAAATATTCATTCATTAGTTAGCCAGGTCGCGTTTTTTGTTCAACTTGGGGCATGATGGTGGGTAAAACAAAATACGCAGCCTGGCTAATTAACGAATAAATATTTTATGTAAAAATTCTTATCAATGCTATAAGTGTAGCTACCAGTTTGGCCGCCAGTTTTAATTTCATTCCTTTAAGTTACACACTGAATCCTCTTTTGGCTGCACCTTTTTTTCACACCTAAGGTGTTTTTCATTAGATTTCATAACTTTTGTTAATACAAACCAACAACCACAACAATTATGAAAGTGACACTCGATAGTAACCCACATTACCAACCCTATTATTCGGAACAGACCTATACTTTACAGAACCAACCAGATTCTTTAAAATATATGGTGGTAGTTTTTCCTCTCTCAAACAGTGTTAATATATTCTTTTGTAGTAACACCATGGAATTTAGATTAACAGTTTAATGTCATCATCCCCTCCTCCATCCATGCAATCGGTACAATCGTATCAAGCATTATTTTTTATGCTGATTGCTTAAGCTAATATCACGTGACGCTAAACGCTCTTTAATTAAGATCATTTCATAAATTTTGGAAATTTGTGCTGAAAAGTTGGCAATTAATAATCAATAATAACTGTCCACCCGTATGATTATTTTGAAAACTTGAGCTAGAAACTGCTAATATAGTTTGCTTGGCCTAACCAAAACTTATGTACACAGCGTAGTCACAAGTAAATAGACACCACCTTTTCAGAAAAAATGAATTTTTTCAGTCATATTC